GAGAGCTGGGTGTGAAGGGGCGGAGCTTTGGGGGGAGGGTCTGGGGAGGTTTGGGGACCCCACAAAGGGGGTCAGGAAAACCACCATCATTATCACCAGCATTACCAGCATAACCCTTGGCACAGAAATAGGTGGCGGAATCCTCGTCCCTGAGGTTGTTCATCTGCAGCGTCACCGAGCTCTGCCCGTTGTCCCTGGCCATGCTGAACCGGCCCTTCACCGACGGCGCGTAGTAGGTCTCAGAACCATCCTCCCTGATCCCAGCGAGCCATTCCAGCCCCTTCCCGGGGCTCTGGCACACCCAGTCCATGGTGTGGATGCCCAAGGTGGTTGTTGGTCCCGACCTTTACCCTGGTTTGGCCCCAAATTCCCCACCTTTGGCCCCAAACCCCAACTCTTTGTCCCAAATCTCTGCCCTTGACCCCAAAGATCACTCATTGACCCAACTCTCAACCATTGACCCGAAATCTCAAGAATTGACCCAAATCCTGATCGTTGACCCTCTTATCTCAACCATTGTCTCAAATCCCAACCATTGACCCCAAATCTCAACCATTGACCCCCAAATCTCTACCCCCTTCAGTCCCTCCGGCTTCACCTTCGGCAGCTACTACATGATCTGGGTGCGCCAGAGCCCCGGGAAGGGGCTGGAATGGCTCGCTTCGATCAGCACTGGTGGTGGTTACACCTACTACGCGCCGTCGGTGAAGGGCCGGTTCAGCATCGCCAGGGACAACGGGCAGAGCTCGGTGACGCTGCAGATGAACAACCTCAGGGACGAGGATTCCGCCACCTATTTCTGTGCCAGGGATGATGATGGTAGTGCTAGTTGGGGTGGTGATATCGACCCCCTTGGTGGGGTCCCCAAACCTCCCCAGACTCTCCCCTCAAAGCTCCGCCCCTCCCACCCAAATCTGAACCGATGATGCCAAACGTCAAACGTTGACCCCAAATGCCGACCATTGACCCAAAATCTGAACTGTTGGTCCCAACCTTTACCTTTTGCAGAGTTTGGGGTCAAGGGTTGAGGTTTGGGGGCAAAGGTCGAGATTTGGGGTCAACAGTTGAGATTTTGGGTGATTGGTTGTGATTTGGAATGAGTGGTTTAGAGTTGGGTCAACAGTTCAAATTTGGGGTCTGTAGTTGAGATTTGGGACAAAGAGTTGGGGTTTGGGGCCAAAGGTGGGGAATTTTGGGGCCAAACCAGGCCCAAGGTCGGGAGCGACGAGCGAGAGCTGGGTGTGAAGGGGCGGAGCTTTGGGATTTGGGGAGGTTTGAGGACCCCACAAAGGGGGTCAATGGCATCAGCAGTACCCCCCCAACCAGCACAACATGCTTTGGCACAGAAATAGGTGGCGGAATCCTCGTCCCTGAGGTTGTTCATCTGCAGCGTCACCGAGCTCTGCCCGTTGTCCCTGGCCATGCTGAACCGGCCCTTCACCGACGGTGCGTAGGTGGTGGTACCACCAGTGTTGATCCCAGCGAGCCATTCCAGCCCCTTCCCGGGGCTCTGGCGCACCCAGACCATGTCGTAGTCGCCGAAGGTGAAGCCGGAGGGGCGGCAGAGGAGCCACAGGGGCAGAGATTGGGGGTCAATGGTTGAGATTTGGGTCAACAATCATGATACGGGTCAATGGTTGGGATTTGGGGTCAATGGTTGAGATTTGGGGTCAATGGTTGGGATTTGGGGTCAATGGTTGACATTTGGGGTCAAAGGTTGGGATTTGGGGTCAATGGTTGAGATTTGGGGTCAGGATCTAAACTTTGGGGTCAAGGGCAGAGATTTGGGACAAAGAGTTGGGGTTTGGGGCCAAAGGTGGGGAATTTGGGGCCAAACCAGGCCCAAGGTCGGGACCAACGACCACCTTGGGCAGCCACACCATGCACTGGGTGCGCCAGAGCCCCGGGAAGGGGCTGGAATGGCTCGCTGGGATCAGCTATGATGGTAGTTGGACCACCTACGCGCCATCGGTGCAGGGTCGGTTCAGCATGGCCAGGGACAACGGGCAGAGCTCGATGACGCTGCAGATGAACAACCTCAGGGACGAGGATTCCGCCACCTATTTCTGTGGCAAGAACAGGGATTCCGGTTGGACTCTTGCCTATGGGCGAGATTTGGGGTCAACGGTCGGGGTTTGGGGTCAATGGGTGAGATTTGGGGCAAAAAGTTGGAGAATTTGGGGCCAAACCAGCACCTTCGACCCCGACGAGTTGTGGGTGCCTTTGGCCCCAAACCCCGACTCATTGTCCCAAATCTCGACTGTTGACCCCAAATCTCAACCATTGACCCCAAATCTCAACCACTGACCCCAAATCCCAATCATTGACCCCAAATCTCAACCATTGACCCCAAATCCCAACCATTGACCCCAAATCTCAACCATTGACCCCAAATCTCAACCATTGACCCGTATCATGATTGATGACCCAAATCTCAACCATTGACCCCCAATCTCTGCCCCGTTCAGCCCCTGTGGCTCCTCGTCCGCCCCTCCAGCTTCACCTTCGGCGACTACACCATGTACTGGGTGTGCCAGAGCCCCGGGAAGGGGCTGGAATGGCTCGCTGGGATCAACACTGGTGGTACCACCACCTACGCACCGTCGGTGAAGGGCCGGTTCAGCATGGCCAGGGACAACGGGCAGAGCTCGGTGACGCTGCAGATGAACAACCTCAGGGACGAGGATTCCGCCACCTATTTCTGTGCCAAAGCTGCTGGTGCTGGTATTGCTGGTGCTGATCGCATCGACCCCCTTTGTGGGGTCCCCAAACCACCAACCCTCTCACCCAAATCTCAATCATCGATGACAAACGTCAAACGTTGGTCCCAAATGCCGACCATTGACCCAAAATGTCAGCCATTGACCCCAATCTTCACCTTTTGCAAGTTTTGGGTCAACCGTTGAGGTTTGGGGTCAAGGGCTGAGGTTTCGGGTCAGTGGTTGAGGTTTGGGGTCAGTGGTTGAGATTTGGGGTCAGTTGTTAAAGATTTGGGTCAACAGTTGAAATTTGGGGTCAGTGGTTGAAATTTTGGGTCAAGGTTTGAGATTTGGGACAAAGAGTTGGGGTTTGGGGGCCAAAGGGGGAGAATTTGGGGCCAAACCAGCCCAAGGTGGGGACCAACAAGCCAGAACTGGGTGAGAAGGACTGGGGGGAGGGTCTGGGGAGTTTTCGGGAGGTTTGAAGACCCTTGAAGGGGGTCGGGGAAACAACCGGCATTATTGCTCCAACCACCAGCAAAGTTCCTGGCACAGAAATAGGTGTTGGAATCCTCGTCCCTGAGGTTGTTCATCTGCAGCGTCACCGAGCTCTGCCCGTTGTCCCTGGCCATGCTGAACCGGCCCTTCACCGACGGCGCGTAGTAGGTGTAACCACCAGTGTTGGTGATCCCAGTGAGCCATTCCAGCCCCTTCCCGGGGCTCTGGCGCACCCAGTACATGGTGTAGTCGCCGAAGGTGGTCGTTGGTCCCAACCTTGGGCCTGGTTTGGCCCCAAATTCCCCACCTTTGGCCCCAAACCCCGACTCTTTGTCCCAAATCTCTGCCCTTGACCCCAAAGATCAGATACTGACCCCAAATGTCAACCCTTGACCCCAAATCTCAACCATTGACCCCAAATCTCAACCATTGACCCCAAATGTCAACCATTGACCCCAAATGTCAACCATTGACCCAAAATCCCAACCATTGACCCCAAATGTCAACCATTGACCCCAAATCTCAACCATTGACCCCAAATCTCA